TAATATATGTTGAAGAAATTAGTTATTATTAAAAGTAAACACGGATTTCTGCATTTTACCTTTGGTGATCTACTTCAAAATCTCAACTCGCAATTTTGCAAATGTAATATGACTTTCTGGCGACTTATAAAATATTCCAAAATTGTTTTTAACAAAAAATTTTATTTATTTAAAATAGCAGTTCCAATTCGTCACTATTGCATTATAAATTTACACATTTCAAAGTGGAGCAGATGAAAAGCAGCATGTTTGTATAAAAGCCTTCGCTTGTTATGGGTACACAATTTAATTCGAATGTGGTAATTTTCGAGGCTTCAGTGTTTCCGTTAAGGCTTTAAAATTTCATTGACCACGCCTGATTTGGGACATTCGCGTAAAACAAACTAAACCAAATTCGGCAACAACATTCAGAGTTTGCTATAAAAAAACCAAAAAAGCCTAATTTTTAGAAATTGATTTCAATCGTGTACTTTTGCCTTTTGAATTCTATTTAAAAAGTTCTTATTTACTGATAATTTATAATCCTTGTTTCTTAGGATTCTTTTGCAAGTTTTAGGCAAAACTTGCTGTCCAAACAAACTGTAATTGAGCAGCAGGAAATAAATGATCTTTAGAAAATATGCAACAAGTAAATACTTTAAACGATATATGAACAATGCAAATGCAATTCTTCGTGTTATGCTATAGAAATCCAACACATGCAAACACAGTACTTTTTAGATGCCGATTTAATCATCAAAATCAATTCAAAATCATCCTGAAAAAAGTTGTTACTAATTAATATCTAATATCCGTTTCATATTTAAATGAATACCTGTATGTCGCAACTTTTGCAATCACCCGTAACTTTTGTGAATAGTAAATATGTATCTGCTAGTTAAATCTAAAATTTTATTTTTCGCAATTTATTGGAACATATTAAAAATCATTGAATTTGGTTCAGTTTGGACGAGTATAAATGAAAGCAGGAAATGAAATTCTCTCGAACCTGAAATCCCACTAAATGCAACGAAAATCATAATGTATTTTAATGGAAAATGAAAATTTAATTTTAATTTTCATCAAACCAGCATTAAGGTATTTTAGATCAACACAAATTTGCCATCACAGTAAAGTTGTTCAATTATAACTTTACAGCATCACTAAAATGTTCTATTTGATGACTAAAAATGTGAAAACACATTATCACCGCACAAGATTGGAGAACGATTAAATTTAAAAGCCGAAAAATTTTGCTAAAATATATTTTTTATTGACTTAAAAAAAACCGAAATCTTTTACCCAAACATATTTTGGATTTACTGATTGTACATTAATTATCGTTCGTGTACTGTAACATGGCAACTTCTCACATTTACGCCCTTAAACCTTTGAATTTTGTTCCTTTCGCATTTTTTTGTAAATCATCCATTAAATTTATTTTTACTGAGAAACAGCCATCAATTTTCTGCCCACACAACAATTTTCTGCATAAAAATACAGCAATTGATTGGAAATATGGACGTCTTGAGACTTTACGAATTCCAATGATATCGAAAAAACTTCATTTGCCACAACGTAATTAAATTCGGAAAGAGGCTTTCGGATGGGGCGGTTTTATTAATAATCGTTCAAGCGCGCTCCATTTGCTCCTTATTGATACGGATTTATTACTTTCGAAGTTGCTGCTGAGTCGACTAAACGATGGAATGTTAATAATTTGCAAGGCTCGTTTGCTACAATTGCACGTTAAAGAGAAAATTTCTGAAAATATTTTCAAATTAGTTTGCTTTTAAAAAAACAAAACAAAAATTTAACGTCTAAAAAATTAGCTGTTGTTTCCGGAATTTTGATATTACTTAGCCAGTAAGAGATTTCCTTTATTGAACTTTATATCATTCCAAATAAAGTAAATTGCGATTGATGAAAATTCAAATCTTTGTTTGGAAATTCTAAACAGCGGAGTTTAGAAATATGAATAAACATTTCAGTTTTCTCTGTTATTTAGTCATAAACAGACATATCAGATATTACTGTTTGGTAGGAGGCCTTTCTGATTACACATGATATGAAATTTTAACGAGAAATGAAACATAATGAAACCCAATCAGCAAGGAAAATGAAAATTAATAATTCCTTATTCACGTTTCCTTCTTCGATTTAATTACTACGCCCTTTGTAACGTTTATTATCACTTATTGACAAGAATAAGGGTGAAAATCCTCTACCTCTATTTCACTTCAAATTGAGTTTTGTTTGTTTAAGCTCCTATTTCAGATTAAGCAAACTTGCCTGTTATATAATTACCTGCGAATATCCTACACTTAACGAAGTGTTTTTAATCATATTAGCGTAAACATTCAGCAAAAGGTCTAATGATTGCCAATCTCTAATTAGTAATTCAATACGGAAACAATTAATTGCTGTCGAGTCGTTCGTTTTTCGTGGCTATTGTTTAGATATGTTAAGGTTTCCCAGCTTTAGAGCGTCCTTAAATTGAATTTCTTCTTGGCGTATTGCCAATAGGAGTGGCTCCCATCTAAGTGGCCATGGAAAGTTCACATTTATCTAATTTTTCTTTTAAATCTAATTTTTGAAACTGATGGAACAAGGATGATTTATTCACGTTTGATGCATCGAAATTTGCAAATTATTAAAGACCGAAAGTAAACTCTCTTAAAGCCAAAGCTTGCGAAATCATTTTTATTCCTCGATGAAGTGTATTGCGGGGAAATCCAATCAGAGCAATGTGGAAAAGCGTTCGGATTCGGTAACGAAGCCATTAATTTTAATTTTGTTCATTTTTAAGCCGTTCGAAGTTTTCGGACGGTAAATTAGGAGGCATTATAGACCATCAATTTTCGAAAAGCTAGCAGCATGTTTCACTGTGTTAGCTCTCAGTTTTATAAATGAGCTGGCTATATACACACATATGCTGGATTTGATTAGACGTTAATTCTGATTCAATTTTAAAGGTTGGTTTTGTCAGTTATTTTATGATGAACAAGTTATTTACGAAAATTAGGTGATGGTTTTTGAAGCTGATTTTATTAGTTCGATCGATTATTCAGGATTAGACACAGGGCATTGGATTTTTTGGAAGCTGATATTTATGTTGTTTCTGTTTATTGTTTTAGATGCTTACAACTTGATGCCTGTGAACATTTTTGATTAGTGTATTAAGTAACTACTATTGTACTACTATTCCGTTTTCATTGGATGCAAAGACCTGGGCCTATGCCTGAAAAGGACTGCTTGAATGTCGAAATTTCGTATGTTGCGTGCATGGCGAATTTCTGAAATTCCTGTGGTCCCTTTTCTATTAAATGTTTTGATTTTTCTACTTATTAATAAGTTTGCTGCATATTAATAGTTCAAATAGTTTTGTTCGTATTTCTTTTGTTATTTTTTTAATTAAGAATTTCTAAATAGTTCGTTCAAACTATCGTCCAAGTTCATCTCGAGTTATCAAATCAAAGTTCTAAAACGAAACCATTTTTTAAATTCAAATTTTAGATTGGTGATAATTTTGAGTATCTGAATCTGTGGATATTTCGATGTTTCGAAGCTCGCTTTGAGAAAGTTGGGAGCAGGAATTTTAGAAATGGGAATTTAAGGAGGCAACTTGTTTTGTCTAAGATGAATTTTCTTACGGCATTTACCAGACACATCATAATCTGATAGCTTTGGTAGATTCCTGAGAATAATTTCAAAGTTTGCTTTTTTCTTCTGCATTTTCGGGTTGTACAGCGACTTCTAGTACATAAACATCTGCAACTCCTTGAAACACAGCCGCTGCATGCAGCTCTCCGATATTCACGCAACTCAATACATTAAATTTAAATTTACCGATAGATTTTCTATTTGTCTCTGTTGCTTTCGGATACCGAAAATTCAGAAGCGATCTTGTGTGGGCGAAAAACGGTTTCGTTTCCTCAAATTTTCACCACTATCGCCGATATCGAACATGAGATTCTCTTGTTTATTCTATTTTCTTTCTAATTGGATTACAGTGGTTTAGCATCACAAAAATCACACATTTTAAAGCTCACAGTTATCGTCAAGAAGGAAAATTGGGGAAACTTAATAATGAAACTGAGTGTTTTAATTTCTCTAATTAATATAAGCAATTCCGCAAAAGTATCCGCACGTTTGCAATTTCAAATAATTTAAATGCCATGTTGTCCACGCAAAAAATTGCGCTTGTAAAAGTTGAATTGCTATTTTATAGAGAAAAATAAAATTTCTGCACTTACATCCAGCAATAATAATTAATTTATCAACAATAAAAAATAAAGCTAGTTCTTAAAATCTCTTTAAAACTGTGCTACAACAAACATGTTTTTTTTTCAAATCATCGGAAACCAACGTTCAAGTTCGCAACCACGCAATATGAGAGAACCAGTTTCGGTATAGTACATGAGTAAATTTCATTATAGTGTTTCAAATAATGACGTCACTGCCAAATAACCTGGGACAGACAGTACATTATTTAGTAGACGTGTGTTAAAATGTTTAATTTTAAATTCAGAATTAATTTTTATTTTTCATACTCTTTCTTGTAATGAAAGTGGATGATGTGGAGTCTTGACTGAACAGTTAACAAACTTGGAAAAGTAGGAGATTTTCAAAGTCGATCTTCACGGCAGTGAGAAACAAAACATTTTCAAAACGGGAAAAAGGAAAAATATTGGCAATATTTAGAAGTTCCGAGCCCGTTGATCCACTTGCTCCTTAAATGGTGCGAAAAATATTAGAAAAGCTTGTAGAAAAATGTAGAAAGCTGAAGAAGTAACTTGTGCTTTTCTAAAAAAAGTATAATTTGCATCCTAGTTAACCTCCACTTATCAAATTGATAAAATGTTTTCTAATCATAATTTGTAATTATTTAAACTGTCAAAGATATAAGTATCTAATTATCATTTTGCATAATTTTTGTGAAGCGGAAAAGTGCAAAGCGTAAATTTGACGTGATTTTTAAGAAAAATTGTGTCAATAAGAATTGTTTCTTTTTGTTTCAGGTCTTTGACCAATAATAATGTGGAGGATCAGTGACATATCAAAGCTGTATCGGCCGTAATGAGACGGCTCTGGTCCGTCATCTTTACCATTGTCCTTGTTTTGTGGGGGGCGGTTAAGGCAGATAGTGAACAATGTCCAGACTCAACTGTAAACCCTTCTTGTCACTGCCACAAATTGGAAAAAGACCTACAGTTGGATTGTCCCGCTGCCACTGCTCAAACTCTACGCATGATACTGGAAAAAATCAGTACCCCGATTCAGTCCCTTACAGTACACGAGCCAGACAAAGCAATGGTAACTCAAAATGTGTATTTTATAAACTAATATGTTTTTTAATACAGTTATTGTCTAAAAAATATTGATTAAAAAATACGGTAATGAATAGAAATACCTTATTGGTCAGACGTTATATTCTTGCCATTCTCGTTCATTTATTTCGCGGGGCAACCTCTGCCTCAAGCCTCTCAAGATTTATGCTCTGCAAAGAAAAAATGAAACTGCCAATTTCAACCAATAGTGAAAAAGCTGATATCAGCATGAAGCATTTTTTTAATTTCAGACGAAACTCCCAAAGAACATATTTCCAGACTCAACCATTATACGCTCTATCGATATATCCCGTTCGAACATCGAAGAAATTCACGATGAGTCGCTTCGTCCCTTAACGCCACATTTAGAGAGTTTCAGTCTCAGAGAGTCCCAGTTGAAAGAAATTCCACAGAAGGCTTTTAAGGGACTTAGTAGACTTATTGCTTTAGATCTGGAGAACAACCAGATTGCCGAGATACCAAGATATACGTTTTATGGACTCGGGTTGATGAAGTTAAGCTTGAGAGGCAATAGACTACAAAGTGTAAGTGTTGGTTTATTTCGTAGTAATCATTATCGTTATTTGCGGTTTTATAATCAATCGGTTAAATTGAATAATGATGCAAACGGTAATATGTTTTGAAAATTATTCTAACTCCCTCAATTATCTGATAATAGATGACCTCTAAAAAACTAAGTTTTAATTAACTGAATATTTTCAACTTTCGCTGGCTGTAACGATATGCAAATAGAAGTCAGTGAGAAGTTTAAATACTGTTAAAATAATGACGAAACCTCATATACATCTAAAGCTCGCTCAGTTGACTGCAGGCTTTCAAAAAAATGTTAATTCTATTAATTAATTTTTTATCATTTATTGTCTCATTGTCATTCTTTTGAGCAACATTACAAATTCTAAATATTTAATTTTTTTAAATGTAAGGGTGCATTCAATTGAACGAACCAACTATTATTATTATTTTATTGCATATTTAGTAAGTTACAAGAGCCTGACAGTCTGATTTGGGTAATAAATTGAATTTAATAAATAACTCAATTTAAAACTTATTGTTAATCTTGGTTTGATTGCTTGAGTTAATCTTGGTTTAGTTTTGTTTAGTTTTCGCTTTTTTACAGTTATCTTCTTAGTTGTTTGTAACAATTCGCATGTTACTTTGTATCATAAATCCAACAAAAATAATTATAATAATAAGAAATAATTAATGCAAACATGCTGAAGAGCATAAAATCATATAAAATACTTTGAGGGCACAGTATTTACTTTTTATATATGAAACAAAGATACTTCTCTAACTATCCAACGAATTCTAAACTCTTGATAGACTAGTTGCAACATGCTAAAGTTGCGTTTGAAGTCGATGCGCATAAACTTACCAAACTCGATTTTCTAAGCTGAATTAATATTTCTTCTTCAGGTTCTCTGGTTCTTGTTTGCAATATAACTCTATCCATTTTCCTCGACTTTAAAAGTATTCTTTACGCTGAAACGGCTTTCCATGTTTGCAAACGTTTGATGAATGGACACAATTTTTATTTGAAAAGTCGAACACATTGACGACCAGTGCTATTACAAAGTCCGTTCACGAAAGACATATTTTTCGATCTCAAATAAGTAGATACGAGATTTTCTGAAGTTATATTAACAGTATTTGTTGAAACGTTTTGTTCTTAAAATGGAAAGCAAAAGATGGAACCTCTTTTGATATCTGAATGAAGGAAAAATAAGTATTTATGCTATTGTTTAATTATTTTTCTTAACTGTTCCTAGTACGTTGTATGTGTTACAGTTATTCTAATAAAACACTTTTTTCTTAAATAATGACAAGATCTTTCGCGGCAAGAAGGGACTTATGTTTTCAAAAGTTTCAAACTGAAAATGTAATACTTAATAAGAAAATGAATACTAAAATTTTCAAGTTTCAAAATGAAAATGTAATACTAAAATTTTATTATTTTAATACAAAAATGCGCATTTCAAGATATAGTTTCAAATTAGTGTTTCGTTTCTGAGGCACTTTTGTGAGAAAATTTGTGCTCTCACATCTGCTTAGTTTTTTGTTTTGCATGAAAAATCAAGTAGTTTGTTGGCCACATATGATATATACAAATGGTCCTTTAAAACTCAAAAAGTATATTAATGATTGTAAATATCGCTTAAATCAATTTGTTAGTCTAACTATCCCAAAACCGTACAGCTATTTTTTCATTTTACTACTCACAAAGTTAACAAATATTTTTTTGCCACATATCGGAAACATCGAACTAAATAATTCGAATAATTTAATTATGGAAATAATCGCATTGAAAGGATCAACTTTTTAAAATTTCTCAAATTAATCAAACACCACATAATTGAATTGGGACAAGAAAATTAAAAAAAATAGGTGATATACCTAAGCGTTTATTCGTACCAAAGAAAGATGTAACACAAAACGCTTTTTGGAACGGAGAATGTCGATTTAGGGTAGGCTCGGATGACGAAGAAGAAGGAAGGAACTTACTGATCTCAAAGAGAGCGTTAATACAAGACCATTTTATTTAAAAAACAACAGGGACAAAGATACTGTTATATAACGTCGAAGGAGCGTAGAAGAGCCGATTAAATGGTGAGTATGTCGGGTTTTTACGTTCTTTGCGTGAACGCGAACAACAGGACGGAAAGGTAATTTATCAGAACACTGTAAGTTTCGAGCAAACCACCTATGAAGATGCAAAGTACCTAGTCGTATTTGCAAAACGCCAAAAAAACTTCTAATTTACTGCGGCCTAGAAACCTGAAAGACTCATCAGTTTCAGTTCCATTCATATCATTACTAGTTCATATATCTTCGGTAGATCTTAATATCGGCTTAAATTTTCCGGAGCTGATTTGCGTTGTAAAAATAACAAATTTTTCGTTTTGTTCCATAAAAAAATGCCTTTTTCCATTTCAGGCCACTGACTACTCGCTTGCAGGATTAGAGGCTACACTCTCCGATCTGGACATATCCGAGAACAAATTGCGAACATTCCCCATGAACGCCGTAAGACGTTTGGAACAACTGCGGCATTTGCGCCTATCACATAACGAAATTAGTTTTATTTCGGTTGACACTTATTCACATCTGAACTCGCTGTTCTACTTGGACCTCAGCAACAACGTTTTTGAGACTATTAATAGTGAAACTTTCAAAGTATGTCTCGCCGTCAGGACGTTATTGCTTTACTGTAACGCCATTGAAGTGGTTCATGAAGAAACGTTCAGTCTATTGCAAGATCTTGAGACTCTCGACCTGAGTCGGAACAAGATTATTTTTTTGCACCCGACGACTTTTAGACAAAACAAGAAAGTTAGTTGGATAGACTTGAGCCGCAACCATTTGCATTATGTTAGTGGCGTGTTTGCGTTTTTGCCCAATTTAGAGCAGCTTTTTCTGTGGGGGAATAATGTGCTGGAAGTACTATCGGATGCGTTCACGAATTCCTCCAGCTTATCGGTTCTTTATCTGCAGGACAACGCCATCGGAAGACTGGATCAGGAAGCTTTTCTGCACCTGACTAATCTAACGCAGCTGCACTTGGGCTCGAATTTTATTTTAAATTTACCCACAAGCATCTTCTCAAATAATTATAATTTGAGCCTATTGAGTCTAGACGCTAATTGGCTGATTGATTTAGAGCCAGGTTTATTTGAGAAAACCCTGCTACTAAGAGAGATAAGACTGCAAAACAACAAAATCCAATCAGTTCATAAAGGCGTCTTTGATCCGCTGCCAGAATTGCGGGAACTCCAGTTGCAGCACAATGAAATATCGTCAATTGAGGATGGCGCTTTTCGCACATTGCAGAGTTTACAGCACATCAATTTGCAAGACAACGCAATTACAGACCTAGGCGATGTGTTTAGGCACACCACTGCCTTAGTGTCACTACAATTAGATAACAATGCCTTAATGTCCTTACACAATCATACATTAAAAGGGCAATCCAGCCTGAAAATAATGTGGCTTGGACATAATAGGCTCCAGAAAGTTGAACAAGCTTTATTCAGAGATCTGGTGCAGGTCGAGAAAGTTTACTTGAATAATAACAGCATATCCCTGCTAGGCGATCGGGCGTTCGAAGCTATGCGCTCGTTAAAATTCCTCTACCTAAATACCAATCATGTGAAGCAAATTACTTCGAAAACTTTTGCGGAACTGCATGAGTTGGAGGAGCTAGATTTGTCGCACAATCTGATAGAGCGGATGGAAGGCAGAGCGCTAATAAATTTAAAAAAGTTAAGGGTGCTGGATTTGTCGTTTAATCCGCTTAAAGTTTTACACGATTCGATTTTCCAGGAGGGATTGCCTATTAGGACGCTCAGTTTGGTTAACTGCTCCATTTCTAAGATCGAGTCGGATGCCTTTCGCGGTTTGAACAATCTTAACGACTTAAACTTGGCTAACAATAAATTATCCGTTCGCGATCTGCGCCACCTCGACATTCCTGGTTTACGAGATTTACAGTTGTCCCACAATAAGTTGAGTGACTTGGACGAGGAGGCACTAAATGGGCTTCCCTCTTTGCAAGAGATTACCCTCGAAAATTGTGTGATCGCCAAGTTACCGCATTTAGTGTTCGCCAAAAATAAGAATCTCATGAGAATCGACTTGACTGCAAACTTCTTAACAGGGTTGCATCCGGGAATTTTTGCTCAATTAAATATTTTGAAGGAACTCAAGCTGAACTTTAATAACTTGACTCAAATCCCGTATCAGACCCTTTCCAACATTTCTACGATGGAAGCTCTGGCTTTGTCACATAATAACTTCGTTACATTAGAGGTGTATCAATTGAACGGCATGCCGAACTTGCGGCATCTGGATCTCAGCTATAATTTCATATCGGGACTTACTGGCTTCAGCTCGACTACTCTCAATCAATTACTATCTGTGGATTTAAGCGGCAATAAGCTGGCGACGCTCCCAACCAATTTTTTCCATCATTCCCATCTCCTTAGGCAAGTCGACCTTTCGGAGAATCGATTTCATCACATTCCAAACACCGCTTTGTCAGAAATTACCCTACCGGGTCTGGGATGGCTTAATATATCTGGGAATCCCATTGTAAACATGCACAAAATTATTGGATCCGTTCGAAGCTATCCAGCTCTCGAGGAGGTAAGTTTACACACATTGAGCTATTTTACCATTCAAGCATATTTTCCAATCTTCTCGATATCATTCTATCTGGGAGTTGGAGAGACTCTAGTTAAAACTAGATAAAAACAAAGTGAATTTTACATCTTACTTTTACCACTGGTTTTGGACAATTTCATTTCCTTCATTCGAATATACTTGGTTCCGATAATTAGGTATATTTGTTTTAGTTTAATATTTATTTTATTTCAACATCAACGCACAAGGTGTTTACTAGACCAAATATAAATCAGGCAAAATGAGACACGAAATAACAAAACAAACATATGTTTGCAAACGTTTAATCGGTTGATAAATAAATGCATCTTTGTGATGTGTGTTACAATTTAACATCGACGAGGTGTTTTCTAGAAGGATTACAAACCAGACTGGAATGAATAAAAAAAATCTAGAAAATCTAATACTTGATTAATTAGGGAACTCGAAACCACAATTGTCCTCACAAAATAGGCGACATTTTAGTTTAAATTCATTTCAACTCCTTTTATATCCCAAAGCTACCAGAACGGCGTCGTAAGAAATTGAACTTTGATTCAAAAATTCTTTAGAAATTTCTTGGGGAGACAAAATATTAATTTAAAAGGTTTTTCATTTTATCAGAAAATTATAAAATGTGTAGTCTGATTCTTTGATATTCTCTGTCGACCCCAACACTATTTCAGTCCAGTTCTACGAATGACCAAGCTTCCCGACTGGGTGCATCAGGAATTTTTGGAAAATTAAAGTTTTGAAGCTTTATTAATTTTTTATGAGGATGTTAATGTCCGTAATATCAAATAATTATTATTACCCCTTAATTCACTAATTCTGTCAAGCAAGAGAGTCACATTGATTCAAACTTATTTAAAATTCAAAATTTAGGAATTTTTAATGATAGCTTTAAAGTATTATTGCCACTTTTTGTCACTTCTTCAATACGCAATTCTTCAATTCCGTCAAAATTTTGGGGCCCCAAAAAACGGAAACAAATAAAACTAAACAAAAATGCTAAAAACTCAGCAACTGCTTTGTGTACTGGATACTGGATACCGTTCGATTTCAAGTTAGCCCAATCAACGCTATATTAAACACATATAATATACTTCAAAACGTCGCTTTTTTTAATTGGTGTGTCATTCTTTGGAACCGAAAACTTCTACTTTCCACAATCCAAGTTATTCACTAATAGTGGAAGTTGCTTGCACGAAAAGCACAATTCTCGGAAATATCGCTTTTCTAAAGTATCTGGTTGTGAGTCTGAAAATAGTTTAACTTGAAATCGAACTGATTTCTTAGACATTAGACGATATAATGGTTTTCCTGGCAATCCCATTGCGTTTTCTTCTAAAAAGTGTTTTCCGAAATTTAAACGACGCTAATAGCCATTAGGTTTACTTTAATAACTTTTTCAAATACAATCAGCTATCATTACAATCTGTAAATTTTAGATGCACTTGGAACACAGCGACCTGATCGTAATAACCAGTAAGGAATTCGAGCTATTCCCGTCTTTACTTCACGTTCATTTAGGATATAACAAGATCCTGAAAATATCCCCAGGCGCATTCAGCTCCCTCCATCAACTAATCTCGTTAGATCTGGGAGTCAATCAAATAGAAATCATACCACAAGAACGTCTATTTGGTTTGAACAACCTTCGCATACTCAACGTAACACATAATCGCTTAAAGGACTTGGACGAATTTCCCGAGGATCTCAAATCGCTTAAAGTCCTGGATGTATCTTATAATCAAATAGCAAGGTAACACTTGAGTTATAGATGGAAATTATGGCTCGAGGAACCCAAAGGGGAATAAACACCGACAAACGCAGTATTTCTTGGCTGGGGGTGTTAAATCAGATTTGAGGGAATGGAATTGCTGGGTTTATAGAGTACACGAAATTCGCCAGAAAAATGTTTTCTCTCTAAATGGTTATTGAATTAGAAAAGCTTTTGGTTAAAAAAACCCAACTAGAAAAACTTGCTGCGATCGTAAAGGTTTTATTGATTATTGAATTGTCTTTCAGAATTAGGAGCACAACCTTCAACTACCTCATAAACTTGGCCGAATTGTACTTATATGGCAACTGGGTCTCTTTCATTGCACCTGAAGCTTTCAGAGCTCTTAAAGCTTTGATCATTTTAGATTTCAGTAGAAACTATTTAGAGAAAATACCCGGAGAAGCACTCAAATATTTAGAGACGCAGATTCGAAGTTTGAATGTCGAAGGTATTTAAATGGAAAATTTATTTGAATTCCTCATTTTCCTAGTTCCACACTGTATGTTGTTTAATACACATTTTTTATCCAGATAATCCATTAGTCTGCAATTGTGACTCAGAAGAATTATGGGAATGGTTGAAAGATCATCGTAAACTAATGAAACAGCCGGAAAATAAAGTCATGAAATGCCATCGTCCCGAACGTCTGACTGGAAAAGTCTTCATTGAGTTGGATCCGGAACAATTTTGTAATCAACCAATGGTAGTCAAACTGGCCATTCAAGATATTCAACCATTTTCGGTTTTGGTTTCATGGCAGAGCAGAAATCATTCAGGACTTTATGGATATCAAATAGCGTACTATTCAATGGACAGTGTCGAAGAAGTAAGTTAAGTAATTTTTGCAATAAGAAAATAAGTTGGAAGACTTTGAATGCTTGATAGGAATTTGCCTACAGCTTTATTATTAATGCGAAGGTTAAAAAATGATTAAAATGGAAGAAAGCGCACTCATATTTTATCTAAAATATGCCTTATTTCGTTTCAAAGGAAACACATATCTTTAAGAATACCAACTCACCGTGTTAAGTAAAATAGAAATACATTTGTTTTAAAGGCCTGCTTTATATCTCACGTGTTACCTTTTATGTCTCACTTCTTCGGATTCGGGGTATATAAATCCATCTAAAAATAGACGATTATTTCTAGATTCTTTATACAGGGCAGTGATTGAATATGGGGCAAAAATTCAAAATCTTGTTTATTGGGTAATTCCAATTGGCATAGTGGCAAAAATTGGGCAATAAGAACATTTTAATACAGATACTATATGCATAGCTTTTTGCCCTTTAGAAACATTGATGAAAATAACTAAAATACCGTTAGAATCGTGCAAACATTTAGAAATTGCACAACTCAATTAAAAATGCTTTCGGTTGGCTTATATACAATTTAACTAAAAAAGTCTCAGTTCTCAGACGCCACTAAATTAGAACATGATTTCAGTTTTACATTTTGTAAGGATTCCGGTCGGTCAGTCCCTGTCGTTTATTCAATACGCTTCCAAAGTTCCTTTAACTGTTGTTTCCGATTTGATCAGCATTTGCTTTCAAGCTGATTTTTTTCACCGATGTTGTAAACCTTTATAGCCTATAGAAATCTCATGTGAAATCACCATACGTCATCCAGGAAATATTTCATTCAGAAGTTATCAGGGTAGCGGTAGAAGAAGTCACGTCAGCTTACAGTCTTAAATCTTTACAAATACAAGCTATTTTAAAAGCTTATCCTTCGCTGCTCTACTGAACGTGCTCTTTGCGGAAAAACAATTCAATCTGAAAAGAATATAAGTCCGAGGCAATCACGCTTTATAGATAAGGACTTCTCAAGCTGTATCCTTTGGGAGGACAAGCTAAATATTCTGGCAAAAATATCTTATTAACTTGTTTTGAACAGACTGCAAACTCGGCGGAATCCTTTCAATTATATAAATGTTTATTCACAGAAATCTATTGGGAAATTATTAGGTAGTTCAAAGGCCATTGAAGAGGGAACAGAAATCGATTATAGGCGCCTTTCGGGGTCTGCATTATGCCGGAGTCAAAGGATAAATATAAGACAAGTTGGAAGCTTTGGATTTCATAATGTTTATTCCAGTTGCTTCGGGATATCGGGAGTCTATATGGTAACATGCATTTAATAAGCTTTTAAAATTATTTGATAGTAAATTAATTATACTACATACCTACATACAATTTGCATGAACAAAAATCATGTATAAAATTGATCAGTTTCGCAACTATATCTAATTTTCGTTTCAGATGTATGTTATTTACTTAACTTACTGTTTCTGCACTTTGCTTCCAACACTACGATATATCACGTAATTTGTCAGTTGCCTTTTCCTATTCAGGCACGACGCAGAAAATCTCGCATTTCCAACATGTATGGCTTTTGAACCGACCTAATTACGTTTTTCACAATTTCTGATAATCGAAAAATATAAAATTGGAACTGCGGGGATTTATATAAATCAGAGTTAGTGTTTTGAGTATTTTCTGTTACATATATTTGTATACAAAGTCATACAAATTGAGAAACATTAATGACTTTAGAATTTATTGTGAACATTTTTATAAAACACTTGAAAGAAACCATTCGAACTATAAGAACATTCAGTTAAGTCGTCATTACAGAGACCGTCATTACCGGAATTGGCATTTCTTAATTATTAATCGCAATGTCAGTGTAGCTTCTCACTTCGTTAATTTAACTAAAGTTTATTGTCAGAAAAATTGAAGCAATTTTTTCCTCTTATGGATTTTCTGAAAACGCAATTTTGATATATTCTCCGGGAGGAAAATGAAAATTAATTAAAATTTTCATTGATATCCTGCCATTTTAGAATTGGTGATACTGAAAATAGCGAACCCACCGAGTCAGAAACTTAAGAGCTTATGTGCATTAAATACTAAAAATATACATTCAGTTTTACAACTAGCCATTAAGATCCTGAAGTAAATCATCCAATAAACACTCTTTCTCATATCTCATCGTAAATGGTCCACAGTCATCCACTAGATTACTCTTGCAGCTTTCTTTTTCTAGTACAGTTGTTTTATATAAAATTAACTTTTGGAATAATATATTATCAGTTGGGTAAATTCTAGAATGTTGCACTAGTTTAATTGATAAAATTTGCCCATATTATATATGTGAAATATTTATATATTCATTCGCAATTCGATGTATAAATTGATGATTGTATTTCGATCAGATTAGTTTAGCAATCGAATGTAGAATTTCCCGTTTATTTTAGGTGAGAGGAAAAATGCTCGATCAGTCAGCTCGGTCACTGAAACTGACTCATCTTTATCCCGGAATAAGATATCGAATTTGCGTACTAGCATTAGGACATTGGATTTCATCACGACGAAGAGCAACTGCTCAGTCCCGATTAGCATTTAAGAAACCAACAATGGCAAATAGTACCGATAGTCGGAAAGACGGATTTCACGTGTTTCAGGACAATATTTTGCCAGTTTTAGTAGATTCAACCACTAGCAAATGCACAGAGGTAGGTTTCCTAAACTATAGAAACTAAATAAACTAACATTTTTAACAGTGATAGAGAATGAAAAAATCAACTGAATTTGCGATTCAGATAATAACAAAAACTCAAGTTGAAATAAATTTCCATCTCATTCCGATTTTGCATCTTTGACTAATATAAAAACTATTTTAGAGTCATTTTTTTAATTTTCAGGTTCTAACTTTGGGAGCACCTGATTTAAGTGTCTTACACGATCATTCCACCGGATCCCAGTCAATACTAACGAGAAGACTTGGGTTAATTATCGGATGCTGTATGGGAGTCGTTGTTTTCATTGTTCTAGTTTCAATCCTGGGCTACTTGAAGGTGAGCCAAAATTATATGCAGGATTTCAAAATGCACACAAAATGTAAAGTCCAAACCTTTCACATCATTTTTAAATTTAGATCAAAAAACAGCGAAGGGCATTAAAACGCGACCAACCCACTGTGCCTCCGGAATACATGTCTTATCGGCATTTTTCCATCCAGAGCGGAGAATTGATCGATCGGTCAGGTCATCCTCAATTCATTACCGACATAAACAGTAGGACAACGCTCAATTAGTTAGGATGTACTCAGAGCTTCCTTTTTATTCGCGTTTTTAAACCGGCCCTGATTCAGTGAGTGTTTTTACCTGATTTAGTTCAGATTAATTAGCTATAAATAAAAAGTTCTAACGTTCTAATTTTCGAAGTCAAGTTTTACATATTTTAAGTCCATTTTTTTAACCCGTTTAACTTTAATTGATCGCATATTCTCAAAGTACTAACAAAGGGCCTACGTATATAGAAACCAAGCAATAGATATAACTATCTTGGGCCTTAAGGCAAAATATCTCTGTAACATCACCTAAATCTTTGCTTTTCAATATGCACAAGATGATCAACTTTAGATAAAAGTGAAAAATGATCCTCCCACTCAATTGCTAGTTATCGCAAGTATTTGTTATCAAAAGGAATTTTTGATGAAGACTTGCCTTCTTCAAGCTCTTCAGTAGGTTTTTGTACTTAGCAAGAAGAGCGTGATTGAATTCAGAGCTCTCTATATCCTGAACACGCAGAGGGTCACTGCACATAAACATTTTTAGACCAAACTGGTTGTTTAAATTGTTATTAAGTTTTATATGTATATATTTTAAATAGATGTTAATATATCCCTATACTGCATTTACCTGAAGTTTCATTTTGAATCAAGGCAAATATTTTGTTAATATGATAATTGACAACAGCATTTTCAGAAATCCATAATTTTCATTTAAATTAATTTAGTTATAGCGTTATTTAATCTGGCAATCCTACCTAAAACGTTCTCATCTATTGTCAAATTGGACCCTAACTCAGGCACAATTTCTGGTAAAGTGAATAGGAAGCATGCTTCGCAGGAATAGGAAGCAGGGCTTCAAAATGACTAATCAGTGGGTGCCCTTTTGGGGAAACTCTTCAATACTATAATGTTCGTATAAGTGAAAGTATAATGCAAAAAATCAAACATCAAACCCATTCAAATTCAATTTAATTTCAGACCTGAAGCTCACACAGCTGAAACATACTTTATAGAAATTAACCAACATTTTCATAGCGAAATAATGTAAATTGGCCGACTTCTTTAGACTTAATAATTTGCAGTTTCAGCACTGTGGCAATATTTTCCTCGACTTTAACCGTAAAAAATAAGCTTCCAATCGTGTGGAAGCACATGACATTTTAACATTGATTTTCTTTTCAATCACAACAAAAATTTAACACATTCTGAACGAGAATACTTAACAATAGCTTAGCCATTCGTGTGAAATGGAACGGTTGGCCGAAAGGGAAGTTTAGGACAAAACCGTACGATTTAATTTATCTTAATGATGAAAATATGGAAAAGCGTCACGAGGAAAATGGAAAACTAAACCCGAATTTCCGAGCCCTAAAACTTTGTTTTCGTTCTGAAATTGGATTTGTTTTGTCGTATATTTTAGGTCCACTTAACGTTTCTGTTATTTCTATTGTTCCATTCCGGCATGTGTTTCTAGTAGCGGCGAAATTGATAGCATTTTCAAGTGAAAGCATTATATAGACGCTTTTAACCTATTAAATTCTACATAGAGCATTATTTCTGCAGACGATGTTATCTTTTTGCGTACATACATCTGACATAATAACTACAAAAGAGATTATAACCATTCTCATGAGAGGAGACAGATAATAATGCAGGCACGGGTTTTACCACTCTCGCTTTAAATTTATTTGACGCCACAAACGAGAAATAAAGAGATAAAATATAGCCGAATGACAATAAACACTCATAAAGCGACATAATCGTGTCTGACTAGCAGAAAGAGAGATAGTTTCCCACCAAGTAATCTGTTTTGATCTATATTCACGCTAGACTAACGTAAGAAGGCGAATATTTCAAGTTATTAATTTTAGAGGACCCCAAAGAGAACTGCTCTTAATGAATGCGGGAATTAACATTTAATAACAGAAGGAAACCTGCCAGAAACTTCACGAATATTTGCAAGTTTTAATACATAGTTGATAGAAATATTGTTTGTCTGCTCAAACTATGACAAAAGGAATTTCAACGTAGCTTCCGAAACCGAAAGGATAATCTATTGGGAAAAACGATTTATTAGTTAAGTGAAGTTTGGAGTGTGTGTTTAATCTTAACTATTCATAGACAATGATTTGGTCTTTATGATATTTCCTTTCGAAATTTGTTGGAAATATAGCAAGTCCTTTTTATGCCGATGTACTTTTCATGTAAAATCCTCCAGGACATGGCAAAAGGACGTCGATGCAGGGAATAATTGTGTCATTAGACGAAGTATTAAATCTGCAAAAGACAAATGCCTTGTGATGCGAAGCGAAACAGGCAAAGAATAGTAATTTGCAAGAACTTCCATTAAAGTCGAATTAAGATCCCTATCTAACAAGCGATGTGATTCTGTTTGATACCTTTTGCTTAAAAACTCCGCAAAAGATTTGTAAAATATTCTGCGACTAATTTCAACTCTAATTGGAAAAATAAAGTCGACGTCAAACTTTCGAACTCTCTTTCAAGGGAATTGAAAACTATTTCAAATAGTTTCAATTGATCAGAGACATTCGAGTTATATTGTAATTACTCGCTCAAACGTCAACGATTTCTGATATAGTTTTCAATTGGATTGTAACATTCGATATAAGTTGGTTTTATTTAAATACCAATTGTACAACATAATAATAAAGCTTGGCGTAAGTCTTTAGGCTTGGATGGGTTGAAGTGTCGTAAAATTTCAAGAGCAAATTGGCAATGGATGAACTGACAATTTCCATATTTTTCTTAATAAGAAAGTTATTTTAATGGCGCCGTTGTTACATAGGTTTAGATTGAAAATACTCTTATAAAAGTATTTAGTAAAATAGTTTTAATTGGTCACGCTCAAAATCCCATTAAAATTTAATGATGTTATTTTCCTACGAGACAGCTGAATTACAAGCATATTTCGCTGTTAGGGATTTTTTAATTAAATAGTTAAAGCTAGCTAAATGCACCCAAAAAAGCATAAATTCAGTTATTGGTACAAAATTGTATGATTGCTCCATTTCATTTCCAGCTTTTCGGCGCCTACCGATGTCTAGTTACTACTCACTGATTAATTTTCAGTTTAATGAATAATTTTCAATAGGTTCAATAGTTACAACTGCTCAAAATTTAATTAAGATGTTGGATTCTTTTCAAAACTGTTCAGATCAATCGACATTATTTAACAATATTTTGACTTTGATTTATAGACAATTTAATATTGCAGTAGTAAATTGTAACTTGATTATTAATATTTTCTGTCACTATTATGTGCGTAACATTTTTTCCATCTTTAATCAGTTGGTTTTTTCACAAAGTTTCACACAAAAAGTAAATATTGCCAATGCATTTGGAACTAACCGCGCAAGCCTTATTATATTTTGATTTATACAAATGGCATTTTTTTTAAATTCCATTTGTGTTTGAACAATTAGGGATTCATTTTAAGATAAAGTATAGTTAGATACTCTTAAATATTGTAAAATTGAAAATTCTTTGTTCGGTGTTTCTAAATAGTTTTATTTATTAAAAAATACAAACATGTTTAAAAAAATATCCTCACATCTCTTTGAATGGCTTTCAATTGCTTGACTTGGATTTGTTTTGCGAAATTTTGTCCTTAATTTTCAGCACTGTTTCTTTTTGCTTCTCTTTAAGCCGCTCAATGGCCATTGGTAAAGTATCAGATTTTTTCGCACTTTCATTTTTAGTATCCACATTCTTATCATCATCTGCATTGTTATTGTTGTTGGTTATTGTTGCAGGCAAATTTGTAGTAGTTGACTTGACAGCATTTATTGAACTATTCTTCGGGGACTCCGTAGTGCTCTTGGGTTCGGGTGATGCTAAATCTGAGCTATCAGTTTTCGAACGTTGTTCCATTCGTAAACTTTTTATTCCAGATCCCAATTTAGGCGAGGGCAGGTTAATGCGGTTTTGCAAAAAATTTACGGAACCCATTTTGTTGGCATTGTTATTACTTTGACGAGCAGAAGCTGACGTTGCTTTTTTCAACTTTTCCAATAACTCCTCTTGTCTGATTTTGAATTGATTTAATAAATTTGATTTTTCTTCTGGTTCATTATTTGCTCGAGATTTTAGTAATGGACGGTTTGATACTCGCGCTCTCAATTCCTTTAAACGATTTTCAAAGTTTTTGTGCCTGAAAATTTGTTATATTTTACAAATGTTGATTAGTAAGTACAAGAAAACTGACAACACAGAACCCTGTTCTTTCCCAGTTCTGTTTATTATCACAATACTTACAATGCATTTCTGCCTATTGACGATTCTGCTTTTTTATGTAGCACGTTATGTTTGTTGATTGGTTTCTTGAAATGTTCAAACTGTCTCGGCCTTATCGATACGGCACTTGCTCTCAAACCATCTGCCTTCATTTGCTTAATCTTTTTAACTAAATCCTGAACTGTTTCACGTTTTGTTAATTTTGGTTTTATTCTGCGTTTGCTCCGAATTTGCGGCCCTAAATTAAAAGCAGTGTTAGAGAGTTTTAGATTACACTTTTTCACTTTTAACTATCATGTTTTAGATCAATACATACCTTTGCCATTGAAAGTGCATTCGCAATAATGTGAGTTGCTGAAGTTTGACTCATTTTTATGCGAATTGCAAACTGCAACACAGTCAGAAAGTTTTTCTTCTGCATCCTGCTGGCTTTCCTCTAATGCTCGACTTGAAATTGTGCCTGCAGGGGCAAAAATAAATGGCTGAATTAGAAAAGGAATGTTCCAGTATAAAGCTACATTTTAAGCAATAAAAAGGAAACAATCCGTTTTCTCAGATAAATGACAGATTAAATAAAATTACTTACCTACGCAAAATCCAACAAGAAATATAACGCCCACGGCCCACTGCATTTTCTACAAATGTGTTGTGGTAAACTGACCCGAATTAAACAGTGTTAAATTTTCAAAAGCTATTGTTTTGAGCTAAATTTGCTGATGCAGTAAGCGTGCATTTCATACATAGTTGCAAAACAAATATGAACTCATTAAAACTAGAGCAATCTATGCTTGGATTCCCTCAACTATAGTTCAGTTTATATTAATTAAATTAAATAACTGCTAAACTGGGTTTTTAGTCAGCAATGCTTAAATATTGTTACTAAAGTGGTAGACAGGCATTACGCGACCAAATTTAATAACTTATTTAATACCTTGTTAAGGGGATAAATAAATTATTCTGGCTTCTTGGATTTCTTTGGCAATAACCAACTTTAAATTGTATGGGAATTATCTCAGAACTCTATTATTTCCACTACATTTGTGAATAGGTATACGCTAAGCGCAAATCTAGCAATTTTATGTATGGGGACGGATTGTTTCCAGCCGCATTTTCATATAATTTCAAAAGCGCATTCATCCAATGCCTCTTCAAACTATACATATAAATACAAAACATATTTACAATGTAGTTAGTGTTTTAATTGGAAATCATTTTGCCGCATGCCATCAATAAGTTAATGTTAGTATGAGATTGTTTTTAATTGTGCTCAATGCTTCACTACCACTCTCGTAAGGCAATTTGGGCCCAAAAATTTCCTTTAAATCCCGTCCAAATTAACCGCTTTCCGCGTGCTGAATGTTCAAACTTTTGGGCAGTTAACTTTATGATTTAGTGAGTATATCAAGTAATTTTAGGGCAACATGCCCGGGGTTTAGCGAATGGTTCACAAGCACTCTCAAAATTATATAACAACTAAAAATGAAAAAACAAACTTAATTCATTTTGATTTTTTTAAATTACGTACACAATATTACTGAGCTAAATGCTGCTGCTTAGGAGATAGTTTTTTGTACAGAATATATTGTAAATATCACAGGGTACAACACTAAGTTTATCATTCTATTTTTAAGCAATTTTCTATATCATAAATATACGATTTGTGAATGAACTGGCTGAAAGAAGGGAAAAAAGACTGTTGTATGTGAAATCATGCGCTCATTCTTTATTGACTTTTTGCGAGTCCGGCTACATTATCTGACTGCATGTAAACTTAAATCAAAACACGTTAACTAATGTTATCGGGGGTCAAGCCTAATCTGGTGTCAGAGGGCTGCTGTGAGCAGCCATATTCAACGATTACACTTGGAAGTTTGAAGTGTTGTGTTTAGGACATATACACATCATCATCTTAAAAAGAGTAAGTACGTAACTATTACCTCATCACTAATAACTCATAGACCATAATCAGCTCTCAATAATAAAGTAAGTTGAATGATAGTTAGATTAAGAATTACTATGCCAGTTGCGTAACATTTAACATTTTATGGTGTTTTGAGATACGCCGGTTTTCGCGGTAAACGCTCTATATTAATTCATTTAGAAATATGTATTTCATTCATCTGCAGTGTTCAATTTTTTTCTGTTCGATTTGGGCAAATATTTATTTTCACTGTTTTAAACGTTCAAGATTCCGCAACTTGCTCCGTATTTTGAGTTGCTTCAGCCGACTATTAATCCTAAAAAGTAGCTGCAGAAAACCAATCAAGTATTACGTTTGAAAATAGTCTCTATAAGTCAACTATAAGTTGAACCCTGCTTACTAAGAGTTCCCGAGATTATTTCAACTGAAAAAATATATTCAAACTAAATAACGAACTGATTGAAATGATGACTTTAAATCTGCTTAACAGCGATTCATGTTGATCTATCCTTTACCTTCGATAACTAAACCCGTTACGAAAAAGTCGAATTCAAAACCTGACGCAACAGCAGTTCCAAACAAAAAAATTGCTCTTAAAAGTTCTTAATTGAAATAAAAATCTCGATATTAAATATTATAATTTCAAATGTTAGTGTGTCCGAGATTGCTCCTTAATTTAATCATATTGTGCAAGTCAGTTATAAAAACCCTGATAACATAATCAACGTACGGTATTAGCTGTAACAAACATGACCATTTGTTTACATTATGTACAACAATTCCTGCATACATTCAAGTAGCTGAAAGTCACCTTCGTTATGCCGAAGGTTCAAATACCAAAATGCTGGAAAATCGATATGAAAAGATTTAAAAATTACATATTTTCCAACTTCAGCTTCAACTTTATCTTGTGAATTATTATTTGTCAATCTCTTAGTGCCAATATCTTCATCCCCGAATAACTTGTAAAATGAAATAGCGAGGTTCATTGTCACTATTGAATTATATTTAATTATGTATTCTCAACCTGCAAGATGAAATCAACCAAGGATGAAGATATGAAGTCGTATTGTTTTAAATTATATTAACGTCAAACGGGAAAGTTTTGAAGAGGGTCGGAACGGTAAATGCGGAAGCGTCACAACTGATTTCAATTCCAGTTAAATCTAGTTACTGTAAACTTAACTGGAAGTTTACATTCAAGAACCATTTCAGGTAACGAAATGTTTTCTACACGTGCAAATTTGCCTTTTAGTGGGTGAGACTCCATCGAAACTTACAATAGAATTGCTAAATGCTATTTCATAAGCTGCTGCAAAACAGCTTCTTCATCAGCATTTAATTTTTAATGAGTTCAAAACTCACGCTTTATTAATTTAAATAAATATTCATCAACTTCAGTTGCAACAGTTCCCTTACAAGCATTAAAAACTGGTATCTACAGAATTTTTAAAACCCAAACCGGATACTTCCACACGACATTGCATTCCAAGCGTTCAAACTTATCCCATTTTCATTATCGTCATGTTTATAATATCATTCCGTGGTTTTGTAGGATTGACAACAGTGGGATAATTTGATAAGTTTTTTTGACTCCGAAAGTCCACTGGTTTAATCAAACTCTTGGCAATAAACATTTTAAGTTGTTAACGGCGCTTTTAATTTTCCGCTGGACAAATCCAGAGCGCGATTCAACAAACAAGTAAACATACCTTTTATCTAAATGCATTTGAATCAATATGGTTTATTTATCACCTAATTTCATCCGGTTGAAGGGATAAAACATTGTATTGTTCAGACATCAGCCAGACTTTGGAACAACGTGATTCAACGAAACTGGAACGCTCTTATCTTAAATAGACTTTGAGATAAATTAGTCAGTTTCAAAAAAAGCGCTCATTAACCAAATATTATTGTGAAAAGGTCAACTATGCAGACCCGTCGGAGGTTGTGTAACATCAATTAGAATGGGGCGTATAATAACACGAGCTAATACATAATAAATGCCAGAGTTAATAATTAAGCTGAATATTTTTGCCAACTTCTTCATCAAATTTACATAAGCCATTTTCATAGAAGCATTTTATAAAGTTTAGATACAATGCGAAAATTACGACCTTACTCGGTACGAGTCTATTGAGACTTGTCCTTAACAAATCTTTGCTTAGATTGACTGACTTAAAAGTTTATATATTTATTTTATGTTTTATAATGATTTTTATTTCAAAACAATAAACTCTTCTGAGCATTTAAATAGAACAAAATACCAAAGTACATACATGATTTAATACAGTTATAAAATATTATGTGAGCAAGCATCAAATGCGCTTTAAATTCCGTTAAATGACAGATAATAAAATAAACACTTTAAAACATGAAATTAAAATCAATATGCATTGGCTATACGTAGTTACTTGTAGTGCAAAAAAAAGTTCACATATCGGTTTGATTCACAATGGCAAAAATGATATATAAAATGCACAATAATGATAAGACACTATCAGTAGTTAATTAGTTCAATAATCAATAATTCACGTTCAAAAAGAAATTACTATACGCAGAAATAATTGAAAATTTGTAAATTAGTTGTAGCACGCTAGTTTGTAATGGAAAGAATAAAAAATTATTATTAATTACAATTTAATTGGCTTAAATTAAAATTTGAGCGACACTAATTACATTCGGTGGTGATGCAAGTTCTTTATATAAACGTTACTTATTTGTTTTGGTTTAATTTGGATATAAAACCGATGACTTTTGATAACTCGAGGCTCAAATCAAAGAAATGCTTTTATAGTTTAGTGTTTTAGGCTCTCCGGCGAATTTAGTTACTGTGTGATGGTAGTGACTTATAATATATTAAAAGGTAGGTATGAATATTAATATATTCAATTGTATTTCCTTGAAACATTCTGAATAGTAAAACACAATTGGAGCATAATTTACGTATTTTGAGTTCAGTTTAATGTATGAGCTGTTGGATGGAAAAAAATGTGTGTTCAATTAACTGGCGAATTAGTTTGTATTTATATCATGCTAAGCTCCTAATTAGAACTATTTGCACAATTTGAACACAAATTGTTGAATAGAAATATAATGCTAATTATGCTTCGAAAGGTTTTCGGTTTCTATGTTTTATTACATATCTGCAGTTATTAAGCAGAATATTTATAAACTTTACCTTAAACATTTGATGTTGTTAAACTATGTTAAAACATTTTTATACTGGAATTTTTCAAAGCGAGTTTGGTTGGAGACAAAATATAGTTGAAAGAGGAAAGTAACTCTTAGACGTACATTCTCATGGAGGAAATGGAGGTATTGAAGGAAAACATTTTGTTTTTGATAATAAAGATTAATTTTTTAATAATTAAGAATCCATACAAATTAAGTAATAATTCAACATTAGCTGTATTGGGTATAATGCAAATTTTGCAGTTGAATAAACTTACTTTTATCCACTATCGTATGGCTTAAATCGGCAATAGGATCAAAACTGTAAAAGTTGGAAATGGGATTTTCTTCACAAAAGGTATCTTGTTTTTGAAAATGTGCATAACTTTTTTTAAATATATTTTTCAATTCACTCTGCTATCCTATAGGAACACAAACATACTACTTTTTATTGATTTTTCACAGACGCATTCTCCTTTTCTGCTGAAATATAAAAATATTTCTTAGGCGTAGGTTTAGACTGTCACTCTTGTTCACTTTTAAACTTGTATCCCCAAAAGCTCCACTTTTTCTATTTAGATATATTTTTTGATACTGTAGTGTTATGTGTAGTAATCTGGGTTACGCTTCTTTACGTTCTTTCAATGACCAATGATTTTTAATTGGTGTGTAGTATGTTATCAATATCTATATAAAAACTGCTTTATAGTAAATTTAGTTGATCTCTCAAATGTTTATAACATTTGAATTATCTTTTGTAAGTATAAAACATCTGAGGGAATGGTTTGTTGATTAAACTCCGTTTTGGTTGATTTTATCGAGTCCTAACCGGTGTAAGCTTATCACTTCCTCACTTGTTAGGTAAAGCACTATTATTTAACTTGCGCAATAAATAGTAATTATATGTATTTATTTTAGAAAAATAAAGGTATGTCGCAACGTGCCAGACGTAAGAGAAAATTCGGAAGAGTACCGATCAGAACAGTAATCGTTCAAGATAAATCCAGTTTAGAAACTGTACCAAAGACAATTATTGTGCGCTATGTATCTACTTCAGTTCAAACGGAAGATCCAATAACACGTATGCTGTTTTGTTAAACTTAGACGTAGAACTATCATTTTCTTTACAGCATTTATCTTACATATTGCCTAACAAAAATGTTTAGATTTATTAAAGATAATGTTAGAATGATTAAAACAATTTAAATCAAATACTAGAATAGACATTAATGTCCAATTTCCATTAATTCCATTAATACACCATGTTCATCCATAAAAACATAATTGAAACAGGCAAATATCGTATTACAGTAGAACCGTAAAAAACGTTAAAACAACCTGTAATCAGCGGCAATGAAACCTTGGATATTGTTCCTTTTATTGCATGCAATGTTCACCTGTCGTTTCGCTGAATCTCACATTTTCACAAAAATAAAGCAAATACGTGCACAGTTAAAGTGAAATAAGCGGAATGATATTTGTTAATAATAACACTTTTTCATTCAACGATTTTCCATATTTGGTTGCTGAATTTGTTATAGGTAAAATGTTAGTTGGTCTGAACAAGATACATTACACTGATTTTATTTAATCCATTTAGTCCTTTGTTTGTTTATTGTTTATTCCTTCGATTTATTCATTATCATATTTTCAATTATTTAGCGCCAATAAGTTTTAATTAAATTTCACATTTTATTTAAGCTTTCAGTGATTTCATCTGCAAAATGTCTGCACCGCTTTGCACAGTAGTTTTTATTAATGTTATTAAAACTGGATCCCAGTAAAACTCGCTTCTATTTCAGTAATTTGTTTCTTTTTTACTTTTCACGCTTGTAAATGTTCATATTATATCAATAATGTTGTTAATTTTTGAACAGCATAATTGGATCACTGTCCAATTATATCTTCAGTTTTTTGATATAGTCACTTAAGTAGAAATGTATATATTTTCAGAATTTTGAAAATAGAAAGCATTGCATCTATTATTTTAATATTACCCAGAAAAACAAAATAAGCAGACTAATTTAAGCCAATTTTTAGTGGTTCAAAGTAAGAGAAGAACCCTCAACATGCCGGAATTGGAATCAGTAACTAGGATTTTCAATTTGCCCATTGTGGAAACCGGATTAAGTTATGCCGAAAATATTTATCAAAGGATTAAGGTAAGAACATCCCTAAATTCAATTCAATGCACGAAAACAAAAAAAAAAAATAATGAGCGAGACAATGTTAGATAAGTTTGATGATTATCAAATTATCGTAGTGATTACTACGTTGAGTAGAAAATATGTGCAGATGCTTTAACGCCATTAGATTTTTTCGACTGTTTAAAAGGAAATATTTGTTTCAAGCTTTAAGAACTGGTTTAATAAGAATAAATGATTTAAAATGTAATATAGAAGTTTTTCCATAGCTGGAAACAACCCGAAACCTAATAAACTTTCGAACAAAACAATATAACATTTCAAGTAATGTGATACTAAAGAACATTTTATTTTGCGATATTAAATTGGTGAAATGTTGTTTCCAGAAATCAAACAGCCTCTTTACCTGGACATTTGACCAAGCTGAAAACACTTTGTATTCAGTAATTGATTCGGCAGGACCCGCGATTTATCTAATCCAAGGTCCACTCTCACAAGTGGATAAAATTGTATGTAAAACCTTAGATATTGTGGAAGAAAAGGTGCCATCAATTAATCTGCCACCAGAAATGGTAAGTTTAGGATAGCAAAAAATAACGAATTCAAAACAAATATCTAAACTTATATTTACGATGCCAATTAATCAGCGCTCCTTTGAAATTACTACATATATAACATCGGAAGGAAAAAATGAATGTCCTTGACAATAAATGAAAAAGAAAAGTTAACCAATCAGTTATACTTTCAGATTTATTGGAATACCAAACAATATGCCAAAGAAAAGGTTAACAAAAGAATTGTAACTCCAGTTCTAAAGAGAGCAGACTCAGTTAAGCAAGTCGGAAATAGTGTATTGGAAAGTAAATATACTGTGTTTGCTGCGGACACTTTAGATGGTGCATTAACTGTTGCTGATAAGTACGTTGACAAATATCTACCACCAGATGACCAAGATAAAGGTAGTGTAAACGTCCTTAACACGATTAATAATAATAAATTAAATATTATTAAGCTTAGTGCTAAATACTATAAACGAGATGCGAAAAACTGTCTTTTCATTGTACACTTTTGTCCAGAAGTCAACCAACCAAGTGGAAAAGGCGGCAAAGCTATTCACACCATTCAACATGTAGATAGACTTGGAAGGAAATTGAAGCGACGACTTACCCGAAGAACAATTGCAGAAGTTAAAGCTCTAAAGGAACACAGTGCTGAAGCTGTACACGTTTTAATTTATGTTGCTGAATTGGTAAATCTTTGAACAAACCAAATTAACAATAAGCTTACGCCCTTGCTCCTACAGGTTGCAACTGATCCAGTAATGGCCTTCCAAAAAGGTAAAGAGTTGTGGACCAGCTTGAGTAAAGACGAACCAGAAAATCAGGCTCGTCCAGAAAACGTTGAGCAACTAATTGTGTTGCTGACCCGTGAATCTGCTAGACGTATGGTTCATTTGGTTAATTTTACCACCTCGGTTGCAAAGAAAGTTAATCGAAATGTAACTCGCTCTGTAGCTGTGTTGGTGCACAAGTTTATTGGAGTAGCTGATTCAGTAGTTAAGGTACTTAGAAAAATTATCAACACATTAAACGGATTGGAAGTATTTATTCGGCCCAAGATTTAAAAAAATGTTTTCTTTGATTTAAACATAAATATTTATTCTAGACTGCTCACTTGGAACAAGTGCAACAAGCCACAACTTCTGTTATCAGAACGCACGCCTATTCAGTTACATTGCTGTTGAAGCAGCTAAATACTCAGCTGACGAATATTTTGGTACGCTTTTCCGGATTTCGCCGAAAATAGTTCTGTAAATTACACAGAAATAATGTTTTTTAGGATAACTGGGCAAAACAGTTAGCTATTCCCACCGAGGATAATACCGAGGAACCGAAGCCGGAAATTTTAGAAAAACTGCATCAAACTCAAACAGTCTTACCAGTGCCCCAAATTAAATTCCAACAGATCAAATCCTTCCATGTGAACGCTATAAAGAACAAAAATGGTTTCGAATATACCATGGCAGAAAATTTGAACAAAGATTATTAACCCTTTCGTCTTTCTGCTTGCTTCCTTGGTATTTTTGTAATTAGTTTAGTAATCTTTAATATGTAACAGTGTGAACGTAGCCAAATGATAATCGGTTTGGATGGGTTTTGCTTATTGCTTATTGCAAGTTATACAGGACCTTATTAGTAGATAGTTTTCCCTTCTGATTTATACTACTAAATGTGCCCTTATTATCGTTGAGAAAATTATATGATGTTTGTCAAAATTTTGTGCTTTATTTCATTCATAGACTAGTACGAAAAGAGCTCGAATCATTTTGAGTGCTGATTAGTAGGCCTGGGAAACTCCGTCATTTTTTTGGAGTTGGCGCAGTGTTGCGGAACTGCCTTTGTTCGCCAACCCAACGCACTGACGCAGTAACTCAGTTGATCGTTGCTGGCACTTATTAATTAATTAAGGATATTCCGCGAAAATTTTTAAAATAAATGTTCTTACAACACTCACCTCCTTCGTCGATTCGTAAAAAGTATTGACATTCTTTTTGAGCTTCAAATTTAGGACCAAAATCAACTATTTTTTTTATTAAAAAGCGAACAAAATCAATAATACAGAATATAATAGAAAGTTTATAAAAACTCATCACCCCCATCCCTCTGAAGAGTGCAGAGTTGGTTTAAAACTGTGGATTTTTAGTTTTGATCGAATTTCTTTTTTGCTTAACTTTACACTCAAAGACGCTCTATTTTAAATAGTTTCACTTAAAAATACTGACAATCTGGAGGTATTTTACGCGAAAAATTACAAGATAAATTTATAGCTGAAGGAATTTTACAAAAACCTTTTTCAGCGTCGAATTCGGAACAAAAACGAAAATAAGTTTTTCCATTTTTTCCGGAAAATTATTAAGGTTTTCTGAAAAGCCAATCACAAAACTAAAAGTTTTTAATCGAAAGCGCAAAAATTCATTATTTTCTGATGCTTTTCTTCTTTTCCGATAACCATTTTCAGCCGAAAACGACACCATTAATTTTCTTACAACATTGGCCTCATGCATCGCTTTGCAGACGACCAAAATGCAAAAGTTTACAAAAAATTATTTGGAAAATTCGCTACCCTCATCGCTCTCCATTATACACTCAGGTATTTTCTTTGAAAAATTATCAATTACATTCTATTGGAACACTCCACTTCTCAACCGCTTTCTGAAGGTTTTTTAAAAAACTTTTTTAGCTTCGAATTTTGGACGAAACCCTAATAATTTTTTCTAGTTTTTTTCCCAAAAATATTTTTCAAACAGAACTAGCGAAACTTTATAATCAATTACTTTGAAAATTCGCCAACTTCGTCGCTGTGAATAACTTAGTTACTTTTAATTCCGGTTACTGGGCGTATTTATAGTTTGGTCGTTTTTTTCTTCATTTGGAGTATTTTTCGAATACCCGTTTTACCTTTGAATTTAGGACAAAAACAAAACAAAGTTTTCTTGTTTTTATTCTCGAAAAAAAAAGTTTTCCAAAAAAACGATCAGAGGAAGCAAAGGCATATGACCAGGTATTTGGAAAACTCATTGAATACCTCATCAGTTTGAAGAATTTTAAAGTTTCTTCAAAATTTCCGGTTTTTCTCGTTTCAGGCAAAAAACTAGAAAAACCGCATTTTTAAGCAATCGTTTCTACAGAAAAGGTAACTCAGTGAATTTTTAAGTGTTGGAGCAGTGCTGCGCAAATGGCTTGGTACTCAGTAACTCAGTTCCGTTGCTGGAAAGACCACACTCCAAATGTTAAAATTCCAGTCCACTCTAGGGTTTGGTATAGCTTTAATCCGCTTTAATAATTGAATTACGATTCATTCACCGATGAGTTATAATTCATTAACTCAGCGAGCGGCAACAACTCCAAAGCGCAACTCAACACAGTGTTACCCAGGCCTACTGATTAGACTTGTCGTCCGTCGTTAGGGGTAAAGTCGTTAGGCACTGTCCGCTGTTTCTTCGACCGTTGAATACAAGATTCAACGGTCTCCTTTATAGTTTTCAAATTCCAAGAAAAAAAATCAATTCATAAAATCCTCACCCTATGTTCAACTTAACTGACGGTAATATAACAGTTGGGTACTTTTTTACGAGTTGCATCAAATGATCTTCACGGAAAGATTGACCAATAATGGTCTGTCCCATGTCGCCCCCACAGTCCGACTTCACCCGGAATGACCGGTACTCAATTTACAGTAAGCTCATATATCAAACGCTTTTTTTATTTAATTTTTAATTACTGTAGGGGCGTTCGTTTATACTTAGAACAAATAAACATCAACTACTATAAAAACATATATTTACACTCCCAAACAGTAGACAATGTGTAATGGCAGTTCGTCAGGTGGTCGATCGAGAGAATACATCTGAAATCAATTTAGAAAAAGTAATTGAGTAACCAGTTCAACAAAAATTAGATTTATGTTATTATTATGAGAATCATTAAAACATGTCAGAATCAGCTACAAGCGCCAAACGTGCCTCAAACAAGGAGCGACTCACCTAGAGTGCATCACTTGGAGTCAACAGTTATCTACCTATAACTTAATTTACAGTAGTAACTTTACTCTATCGGAGTATTATCAATCTATCTCTGAACCCCGCAAAACTACAACCGAAGTTGCATCCTGCCACGGCTAAACTTGGGTTGTTAATAGGTATTAAGGGTACGGCGCGCGAAATACCTGCTCAGGAAAAGCTTTACTAGTCACCGACATTTATCATGATAAACAGTATCTTAATTGGCCACTAGGTACTGCGGGTCATCCACAGCCAGTACCCGCCTACTAGCGTTCTCCCTCACAATGGGTCCAGAGTCCAGGTACTGCGGGACATCCACAGCCAGTACCCGTCCCTAACATCATTACTCAACTGACTCAAAAACTTACTAAAGTACTGTTGTACGTCTACAGCCAGCACTAGGTACTTCTCTATGAA